ATTATTGCATGAATGAGTTAAATAAACACGCTATATATAACAATCATCGAAAGTAAACTGACTTAACTAAGAGAAAAATAATTAAAACACAACTTGAAAAGGACGAAAAAGATTTTTAAACCCTTAAGTGCCACATGATAGAAACATCACATTTTTGGACATGACATTCCCAACGCAATTCAATTACTCATATCTTTCATAAAACTAAATAAATAGTAAACAATTTCTTTTCTAATCAAAACAAACATTAAAGAATATGATGATACTAAATAAATAAATGTATTTTTTATATAATCAATGGAAAAAAATCATTGAAAAAACATTGGAAAAAAAAATCCGAATATGTTACAAATAAAGAGCGATGTGAAACAAAAATAACAAGAATAACATTTGATCATGTTAAGAATATTCTTTTTATCAATACTTATTTGATTAGTTAATATTTTTTCTTTAAAGTTGAAAAAAAAATTTTTTTTTTAAGAAACTTAATATTTTGAATTGTGTATAATTTTTTAAATAAGAGAATAATATATATATCTTACGTATGTATGTTTTTTTGTAACGTATAAAGCATATAATACCGGCGAAAATTTTTTATTATAAAATAGAGAACTTAATTAATTAGTGTAATTATTTTGTAACTTAATAATATAATTATACTGTTGTATAATAAAAAATTGATTAGCGTACCGCATTTATTCGAAAAAGTACTCTGCTGCTAAAAATTCCGAAAAACCCGTAGGTAAAACTTCTCAATTTATACCAAGAATAAGTCAAACTTTGAGCCCGCTAAATTGTCTCGGCTTTAAAGACGCGTCAAATGAGAGTACGTGCTTAAACGCTCTCGCTCAGGCATAGCAACGTCACGGGCGACCGTCATACATCGTCATCGCGCAAGAGACGCAACGAGCTCGATGCACTCCAACACCTCCTGTAAAATGATGGGCACGAAAGGCGTCGAGGCATTCATTATGCGATGCTCTTGCATACGCGCGTATGAGCGAGTTTATACGCGCGGCCTTGTTTGCGTTGCGCTCAGGGCGAGGGAAATTAAGAGAGACTGGGTCGCAGGTACGCGCGAGGATTACGGGGGTGGAAAACGGTGGAGCAGCACATCGCGTAGCCGGAGAGTTTACGGCTGTTTACGGTTGTTTCCGGGGCTGTTTACGTAGCGTCCGAAATTGAGAAAATCAAGAGGCTCCGTCAGCAGAGCTGTAGAAACGCGCGCCGAGAAAACTGTAGGAGTGCGAGTGGTGCTCGATGAAAGGTGACCGACATCGAGGAGTGTACCTTAAGAAAATCAAGTGCGCCAAACCGAAATCCGTGAATATCTCGTTGAGTCCTTAAGGGAGAACGAGAAAAGCGTACCCTTTTACCGTGGATTCTGCGAGTATTGACGGTAGAAACGTGGTAGAATATTGACTTCATCAGCTGCATAAATCAAATACCATTGGAAAATGATTAGAGGAGCAAATGAACGGCTCAAAGAAACATACTTGAAGAAATCTACGTAGAAAAAAGTTCAATAACTCGGACACGGAAATTAATAATGAAAATCTATATTTAGAGAAAGTTTTATCAAAATATCTGTAAAATCTTAAAGTATAAAATATTATTTTTATTTTAAAGTATATATTGGACTCTCGATAAACAAACAATCAAAAATATAAATATTAAAGGGCAAGTGAGAGTAAAAAATGTCTACACGCGGTTGACGATGCGTTAATATGGAGATGTTTAATAATCCAAAAAATATACAATATATGTAATTAAAATTACAATCTCGTACGTTTCGACTAAATTCCAGTCATCTTCAGCAAAATTAATTATTTTTATTTTATATATTACGTAAAAATACACAGGCACTATTTTTAATGTTTCCCGACAGATCTAAGCAAAAATAAATTTTTATTTTTATTTTAAAAGATTTTCTGCGTGTAATTTTTTTATTTTCTTCCATTATACTGAATAACGTGATATACATTCGAGAATATAAAACATATTGTACTATACCGATTTACTTTTAAACCATTTTTAGATTTTGTATGAATTTTAACAAAACGTTGAATAATAGATATATTTACAGTGATTTGGTTTTATCTGAACAATTTTTCCTTCAACATAAAATCTATGAATGAGCTATCTTTCATTTGATATAAAGCTAGATTAACTGGATTCGCGAAACGTAAGTACACAATGTATACACGTAAGTTATCGAAGGTAAATTGAAATTAAATTTTGAATAGAGATACAGAAAAAATGAGCACGTTAAAAATGAGACATCGAAATCGAAACAACTGCTGGAAGAAAACGATACTGCGCTGCAGTTGGAAAAAAAAATCAAGACGCGAAAACGGTACATTTCGTGGATTATCGAGACGATAATGGATGAAGCGTCGATAGAGAAGGCGAAACGTGGAAACGAAGGGTTGGCACCGGGGGAGTATAAAGACAGAAGGGTGCTTCTCGAAGGGCGTTCGCGGGGTTGCCTAGCTCGACGATAGAGTTTGAATAATGCAGACTTGCACAACGCTGCTTAAAAGTGATCGGTCCACCTCCCTCCCTCCCCTCCCTCTTCCATCCACCCCCCTTTATCGTCTCTTCTCACCGATCCCTTTAGAATCTCACTCTCGGTTCGTCTAAGAGTACGAACTAAGATTGATTTTGGATTGGATGGGAATTGGGAATAGTGAGCCTGTTACTCTCTGGCAGCCTCTCCTCTCCTCCTTTCTTTACCTTTCGCTCCCTCTCGTTCTTCTCCTTCGTCGTGGCGGTCTGATTTCCCTCGCTTTTTCCTATTTCTTCTCGACGTACCTATGTATACACGTGCATTTACATAGTCGGGCGTAATATGTTTTTGTAACTGGAAAAGGCATTGAAGATGCGCTGTATTTACAGTTCCAGTTGAGATTTATTATCTTATTATATACAGAAAAAGAGAGACAGGGAAAATATGGAAGAGTCAGATATTAGCCTTTGAGTTTAAAACGACACAATTACTAATAACATAGAGCTTCTATTGCGTGATGATTTAGTTGACGATCTCGCTTTGTATAATTTACAATTTTATTTAATATTTGTTGCATATATCATTTATTACTTTCGCATCGCATTTTCGTACTTCTCACGTTGCATTTAAGAATTGTACAATGGATATTAACATTTTCATCGTCGCATTCATTTCGCATTCGCGGCTATCGCTCGCTTTCACGCTCAATTTACATATTTCGCTGCGTCTGTAATCACCGCCGGCACCGATGGAATTATGGAAAGGACGTCCTTTGTGGACGTGACCGTATATAAAAGCCTGGTCTCTGGGCGAGATTTATCCTGCCGACGATCAACCCTCCCAGGAGAGTATAAAAGTGCCAAATTAGAGTGGTACAGCGACTGGGCCAGTGCCGTGCCTATATAGGGCACGACGAAAGCCCGCATTGCGGAATGAGAGATCGCCTATCGGGGCTATCACTGGCTCCCCTACCCTTCGCGATGCCAATTTGCGGGAGATCGCAATTCCCGATGATGCGAGAACATGCGAATCAGAAATGATCATTTAAATTCTCATTTTAATTTAGTCCTCATAGAATTTTCATTACGTCCTACGATTACGTCGAATAATTGACACATCGTTTAACTGATATGTATATTATGTCCTTGATTATTATTCTCTCATCTTCGCCTTTTGAAAAAGTTCTACCAGCGAGTAGAAGAGCAGCGGAAGTTCAGTTTACAACAAAAATATCTCAAACAACCCATAGTATATTTATCAGACTACGGTATATACTCTGAAGATTTGCTGTTCCATGATTATTTTAAATCAAGTGCATTCCATCTTCTGCGCATTTATTATTAGTGCTGTGTTACTTAAGATTGTATTGCATTACTGAAATACGTCTTTCTTTAATTTCAGAAAAATAATCTTTTCCTTGCAGTATACCTAGAAACTTGTACAAAAATAGATGCTTTGAGATAAAATGTATTGCAAAAGTATCGTTGAGAACTCCACTGAAATTTTTAAAATATTAACGTTCACCGATGTTTACTATCAGCGAAACTAGAATGGCAGCGAATAAATATATGTATTGATATATCGTTGTATCACTGTAACCAACGATGACACTCGAGAGTCTGCATCTGCAGCGGCGCCGCGCCGGTCGGAACACCGCATTGCAGACGCCCCCTTTCGAGACAACGCCGGTATCGGCATTGCCGTTTTCCATTTATACAGATATTATTTATGCTTGTGTGAAATTTGCAAAATTTTACAAACTTCTTATAAAATTTATTATTATATTTCAAATCTTTAATTACTCCGCAAGCCTCTACTCTCATTTTAAATCTTTACATGCTATATTTTTCTTGTCATTTACTTCTGTTTATTATTGTATCTTTTATTATTTTGTCGACGATATATAATTACTAATTGTACTGACACTAAATACTTGGCTGCATAAAAGTAAAACTAATTTTTAAACGATCTCGCTTGTGATAATGTAGTTTTTTTTTTTTATAAGAAGGAATAGCGCACGAGAGTGATAGCCGCGACTTGATCGTAGGAGCGTAACTATTTGATTAAAGATGAAAATTGCCGTATCCGTGAATCGACGGCGCGGCGGAGATAAATGGAATGACGGACGGTGGTCTGTATTTTGAAAGTGATTCGTGCAGCGCTACACCGGAGCAGCTCCCGCGAGATCGATGCGTCAATAATTTCCTACGATCGTAGCTCGTTTGACTCACCGACATTATTCATCGTGCGGAATTTCGAATAAAACAACCGACTGTGGAATCACGTTAAAAGCTTTCTGGCTTTTTTCGCCAAAACGATCCCACGTTCCTCCTGGCTGCTGTCCGTATGTCTATTCTTTTGTTTCTTTCTCTCTCTTCCTCTTTCTTTCCTTATCGCCATTCTACCCTTTTGCCTTCCATCCACTCTTTCGCTCTTATCCATCACTTTAGTCTTCTGTAGTCCAGCATTTTCTCCGTTGAAAAGCGCGAGCATGAGCGCAACGAAAGGGATAGTGAAAGAAGAGCAAACGGATGAAACAGAAAGAAGCACCGTGGTAGTAAATTTCACCGCAGTTCATGAAGAGTGCCGGCAACCGTTAACGGTAACACATCGAAATGCTCTCTCGTTCTTTCCGTACAGTGCAACAAGAGCCAACAGGACGTAGATGGGCGAAGGGAAGGACTAGAACTCTCGGGATAAAAAGGATTAATTACTCCCTTCATCGTTATCCCCTTTTCAGGGGGAAAAAGCCGATACAACGGCTCATTATCAGAGACTTTAGCTAAAGAACGAGCACAAATCGAGACAAGATCGATCGAAAGAAATATTGTCGCTCATATCGCACGCTATTTCGAGAGGGAATACATACGTTAACAATCCACATTTGATATAGTCTTCTATAAATTTTTACCTCGCACACGACATTTCGCATATACGGACGTTAACTGCCTCGAATGTGGAAAAAATATGAGAAATGTGAATTAGATACAATACATTTACATGTTTTAATACAGCCGTTCGTTCGTTACAATATTATTTAATATGCTCTAACTTAATTTACTTCAAAAATATGGAATTATATTTATTTTTAGTATATATAATTTAAATATTTATAAATGATTGTACACTTATTACATTTCTAAGTATATATTGACACAAGAAATCTCCTTGAAAGTGATAGAGAAATTCCTGTAACATGATTGTATCATGTATTGATACAATCTAGTCTCTCTCTCTCTCTTCCCATTAAGCTTTCACGTTTTGTCTCTATAATTTCTCAGCGACCGAAATTAGCGCACGCGCAGTCGATTGCTTATAAAACTCCAGGACATGAATTCATCACGATGCGCCCTGAGCTATCACGTAGCGAAAGTGAATTTTTGAAATCTGGTTCAGACAAAACGGCAAAAACGTGCCGAGAATCCCGACAACCGTTTTGCTGTTGCTGGTCAAATTCTTACCATGTTTATTCGCGAATTTACTGGCCAAGATGAGCCGATCGATGCGCATAGGCGTCACGGCGTCTGAAGCACGTTTTACGTTGCAGAGAGCCATTACAGACGCCGATTACTGCTAGTAGTCGGCTCGGATGACACATTTACGAGCGGAATAAAAGTCTGACAATAGGAGACAGAGGGTTGTAATGGGGAGCAATGGCACAGTGCGTTGGCAGACAAGTCAAGTCTGCGGAATAATGTCTCTTGGACAAAACGTCATTACAAAGAAAAATCGTTTTAAATGCGCATTGAGATAATCGAGATCATGAAAATGGATGTACTAATAACTAAGATAATTGATGTACGTTTTTTTTTTTTAGATGAATAACAGTAAGCTCTCTTAATGGACGTAGAGCGTGTCCAATACGCGAAATGATTTTTTTCATAATGCTTTTGAGGCTTTCACGGGTATTGTCTTAAAGATACCAGAAGTTTGCGGGTGATATCGCCGTGTTTTTCTCCATTGTTAATGGCAACGTTTCGTGAACCTTGTCGTTTACTTTACCAAAGGAGGAGAAGCGCACTGATACTGATTTTTTTCATAATTAAAAATTTGATATCAGTTATTTAATTTAGCTTTTGTCTTTTTCTCTATATTTATATTATCGATATACGATAATCACAGGGTCTAATCTTTACCTTTTGTATTTCAGAATACTAGTTGGGGAGAATTGTCATCATGGTCAAAGTGGTCAACATGTACAAGGTAAGAGATTAATTATAAATTTTTGACGTAATGAAAGTTATTAAGGCATATCATAAAATTAATTAAAGAAATGAAAATAATTTGTGTTTACGTCGTAAATGTGAATTGTTTTATTTTCTTTAATTAATTGTAATTTTATTTTGAATTTTTGACATATTCAAATATTAATTTAACATAATGTGATTATATTATTTAAATATTTTGTGTTAAAAATTAGTATTTAATATTTTTTATTTTTTAAATTATTACAAATTTTTTAACTGCATAAGAAAATGGTTCTCATTTGAGAACCTCATCCTATTCAATATTTTCTTCGTGGTAACATGTTTCGTAATAATTATGCATATACGAAACAAAAGTTCTTATTTCTCGATGAAGAAATTGTATTCCAAAATAAACTCTACAACACAGAGAATGGCACATCCGGCGCACACATATTGTTTGGTAGTCGTGCGACAAAAGGGGCGATCTTGACGGTGGCCTCGACTTCTCCGCATGCAAGGCATGATCCAATCCTTGCGATTTCTCATCGCCTGTTTCGTGCGGTTCTAATATTGAGTCCTACCGGTAACACAGCCGGAATGTTGAACGTCCCGGAACTCATTTTGGTGGCTACCACCGGCAATAAGTTTGTTCTCGACTCACCCTGCTCGTTTTTCAGTTATACAGAGGTGGCCAGAACTAGGAGACGTAGCAATTTATGGCACTTACAACTTGCGAACTGCACTTGGGTCGAGAAAGCTTATTGTGTGATCTACTGCACTCTACTTATTGATGTTTCTACCATCTGCACGTGCCTTCGTGCTTTGGTCTCTATTACAATTTCCGCCAAATCTCGCCAAATTGATAAGATGTTTATTAATAATAATTATATATGTTGCAACTAATGAGTACGTTGCGATGAGTTTGTTCATTATTGTAAATGATATGTAAAGACGCGTATTTTTTTACGGAGAATATTCATGCATCATGTCTTTTCGAACGTCATACATTATGATACAAAATCAACGTTTCAGTTACGATCGAATTAAAGAATCTAATAAGAAAAAAATATGAATAACTCACAAAAATCTTGACTTTAGTCAAAATATTTAACGTTGTTTGAGTAGACGGCTTGTCCGCAGATCACAAATAATAATATCCCCCATAGTGAATAAAAGTTGCACGTCATTATGATATTGCTATGATATATATAGATTAAGATAATAACATATATTGTTACTACAACCTCTTCATAATTTCGCAGTAACATTACAATTAATCCGCGTTTAATGTGATGTTCATATGATCTTTTTATAGGAGTACTGCCATAAGAGCTGTACCTATGTCATAATATCGTCTTTACGTAATTCAATTATTGCTGCAAAATTAATAGGATTGAGTAACAGGCTTATTGTGTCTCGTGCATATTACGTATTTAAGGACAATTTAAAAATGAACTCATCCGCAATATTATTTACGTAATTACAAAGCTTCGTAATTGGGATTAATCTGTACGCATAATGTATGCTACGTATTATTATTCCAATTAACTAATTGTTTGTGCGTCGGTTATTGTTCAAAGCAGATAATTACTATCCGTGTAGAATAATGCAATCGATACCGACTTCTCTAAAATTGGAACCAAGTCGTAATCAATTCAATCGAATCCATTTAATATATGACGATGGATACCATAAAAAGTCAGCTAATGCAATGTCCGTTTCAACGCACAAGCAAAAGATTTCTATACATACGTATATGTATAGCTAAAAATCGAAAGAGAGAGCGCGAGAATAGATATAACTAGAACATAGTAAATTACTTTGTAAATATTGATATTATTTGTGTATTGCTATATTAAGGCTTCTTAAAGTTAGTATGCTCATTTCTCCATATGTGATTAGCTTCATTTTCCTTTATTTTTCAAATCATGTCGTTTCTAAAAATTTCTCGACACTTAATGCTTTTTTTATCATTCATAGTTCTATTTGAAGCTTTTGGATAATCCTTCGTTACTTACAAGAAAAATATCTAAAGAAGATAATTTTTATCTAAAGAAGAATACCCGTGCATCACGTTTTCTCGATCTTCGTACGTTATGGTGAAAAATGACGTTTTATCGCAATCGACTTAAAGATCTAATAAGAAAAAAATATGAATAACTCATAAAAATCTTGGCTTTAGTTAAAATAATTAATGTTGTTAGACGGCTTATATTGTAGAGACGGCTTATCTGCAGATCATAATCGGTAAGAACATTTCGTGTCATAAATGATATTTTCATTTAAATATGCGAATGTATTTTGCACTCTCTTGAGTAAAGGAGCCAACTTATACTTGTTGAGGTAACGCAATTTCCAGCGAATAAAGATCGCTCATGAAATTAGCGTGAAGTAGTAAATTGAATTAACTAACTGCGTCGCGCAACGACACGCGGTGGTGAAATGCAATTAAACTCTTGACGATTTCAGCGCGCCTTGATTATGAAAAGTTCGTTGAATAAGCACGTCTCGGAAAGACATCTGGCCGAGATACATTCGAAAAAAGTCATTATACTTAATTTCTTGATAAATTTCTCTTTTCTTTTTTAGGACGTGCGATGGCGGAATCTCACGACAACAACGTCGATGCAGACGTAATAGACCGTGCAAGGGGAAGGTCTGGACTACCAGATATAAAATCTGCAATCTGGAGGTGAGTATTATCACGTTTAATTTACCTGAGTATTCATCTTGTCGTGTAAAGTGTGTCGTGGTTAGTTGTTACACATGGAATAGGTCGTTACACTTATTGTCAATATATTTTTGGAATAGCATTGTAAAATGAATAAATAAAGAAAGTAATTAAATATAACACGATTACTAAAAAAAGAAAAACAGTTTTAAGCATGCTCAATCGATGTTTTTAACATGTTTGAAACATGTTTTTTTTATAATACTGTTTAAACACATTTGAAGGATTAAAAATATTTTTTATGTTTATTTTTATTAATTTTTATTAAAATAATAGAAGATAAAAAATTTGATACATTTATATTTATGCTCATATAATACGATATTCATGATGTGTTTAAATACACATACTTCCATTGTTTGATAGTTTAATATATTTGATAATAATTAATATATTTAAAAAATACACACAATTGTTACAACCTCTGCTCCATATGTGCGGATGATTATATTACAATATAATCACCTTTTGTTATTTTTATTAATCTGAGTTAAATAAATTACAATGTTAAATGAAAACATAATTGATATAGATTTAGACAGCTATTAATAAAGTTTGCGGTATTTATTCAATTTATACTGATTGTGTAACTACTTTCTGTAGTCTCTCCGATCGCGCGAAAGACAAATTCTTCGCAGTTTCGTTGTATCTTTTCTTATATACAAATCTGGACTAAATATGCTTTAAAATAAAAAATTAACAATTAGTTTATACATAAAATGCTAAATTAACAAAATACCTTCAAATAAAGCTGATTAATTATATTTTAAAAATAAGTTGTTTTGCCATATAAAAATAAAATTTTTAACTACAAACGAGAGCAAGCAAAAGAAGAAAATAATGATAAAATCTTTTATTTAGTGCAATTACGAATGCGTAGAAATAGTAGAAGATTGACAAGTAATGCTAACAACGAGATTAATCATAACTTTCTCAAAACAGGAATTGTCAAAGGTGTCCGCTAATTTTCTAAATAAATAAAAAATTCTCGATTCATTGCGATGTAAAATAAATATAGCAGAAATGTGTTAGGAGAATAGCGTTTCGCTTTATACGTATTAATGTATTCAAAGCGAATGTTATCAAGCTATGATGTGGTAAACCGTTATTGATTTTCCGTTATGCAAATGTGGATGTATCTTAGATCTATCTAGCCTTTTATTTAGGGATTCCTTTATGTGCACGTTGAAGTGCACGCCCAGCTTTATCTAAAATTCAAAATAACACGTTTACGCAGTGAAACATTGACATAATCGCGTGTGTTCGTTCGAATGTATATACATATGGACACGTACAATTTATAGCTTGAGCCGTTTTCGCGTATTAATTGCATTCAATCGTGTTACGTTTAACAGTGACATCGCTATTTTATGCTCATTACGAGTGATTACTGAAAATACCGTGGAGAGGCGATGCATAACTGCGATGATGAGCAATAATGCAAACGGATCGTGCCACAATTACGCAAATTAAATGACATTTATTGTCGCAAATCGTTCTTAAATATTTCAGTCCACCCCGAACATCCGTCGGCGTCAATGTTGTACCAACCGAGATGTAAATTGGATACATGATGAATTCGATATTGGTGCATAACAGCCGGCAGCGCTTCTCGTGTGTACAAGCATCGTTCTACATCGCGGCTAAAACCAATACGCACGCTCTGCAGTTATCCGGGGTAGCTCCCTCGATGTTACGGCAGATGCAGGTGACCCGACCTATATTCGTATCTGGGGCAAGTTTCGGAGAGAATGTGGCTGTACGTATTAAACAGCTCCACTTCGACGTGGTTTCGCTCGATCGATATTCACCCTAAGTCGATTTTCTTCGCTATTCTCAACTCCATTTAACTTGAACGAATTATAAAGAGGAGCGTGCTTAGAAGAATCGATATTAGTCACGAAAATCGGCTAACCTAAATCGCAAGGTTTAACGACCTATCGTTATTAATTCGCGAGGAAGCAATTATGCTCATAATCAGGTAACCATATTCGCGTGTCTGTTAATAGCCTTGTTTTATCGTATTTAGTAGTTCCGTATATTTTCACGTGCGCATCGTTCGTTTCTGTGTTATTTTTATCGTTTAATATTTCTCATTGAAAAATGTGTCTGTTCCGCGTACGCATATTTTTACGCACATTATTTTTAATTCAGAGTAATTTGCTTCTTTATTTGGACTTCAATTGATATAGTTACGAATAAGGAAGAGGAAAGATCTTCACTGCCCTTAGGGCAGAGGGGCAGATTTTGATCTAAAAAGCCATTTTCAAGATTAAACATGATTTTTTAAAGGAAAACTATTAAACATTTAAGAGTTTAAGTACGCATATACGTTTATTCATGTTCGAACTATATGTATAAATTTTCAAAAGTTTCTAAACTAAATATTCTCAAAGTTGTAAACTGTTATGCGCGCATCTTTTGTTATAAAATTATATAGTGAATCACTTATTTTATACAACACTTGTAAAAGTAATGAAAATTAATCCGAAAAGCAATTTTTCGTACCCAGTAACAGATTGCAAAATTATCACGTGTATTAAAGGTAAAGCATATTGAGCTTTTAGACGTTTTCAAAAATTTATACCTCTAATTTAAGTAGGAATAAATATGTATTCAAAATTTCAATTAAATTTCTATATTCAATAGCTTTTTTATAATAAAAAAAATATATACAATTTACCTGAAAATCGCTTTGTCGACCAGAATGATCCCTTAATCTATTTAATCCTAGACGAGATGACGAGTGCCTTTCGTATTGCTCGAAATTCCGAATAAATCAAACGTCGTTCGTGGCTGACATCAAAATCGATCAGAGATAGCACCGGCTTCATTCCATGTGTGACCATGACGTGATGGTACGGCGACGTTTCTTCCTGCGAGTCGTTTCGCGATACTGCTGCTCCATGTATTAGTTTTCGCATCACATATCAATCAATTGCTGGAACAACGGTTCAATAATACTCATATACAGATATACTATATGCATATACTAAAATGATTTTCAATGGAGTTTTTTTTCTGTAGCATAAAGGAAATCAAAATATAAATTAGAATCCAATCGATTTACTGTGCTGAAATAAATCGCGCCAAAAACCGTGCTCGCGCAGTTCCGTGCCATTAAACAAAATCGCTCTGTGTATTAAAGTTCCAGATTCATCAGAGAACGATTAGCGACGCCACTTTTCAGACCGATTAACACGCTTGTCGCATTAACGCGACGACGACGCTCGACCCAAATTGACGTCGTTAACCGACTCGCTCAGCACAACGACGTGAATCTCTCTCTCTCTCTCTCTCTCTCTCTCTCTCTCTCTCTCTCTCTCTCTCTCTCTCTCTCTCTCTCTCTCGACGAGAGAGAGAGAGAGAGATCGCGTATCCCAAGTTTCCGTAAAATCGTAAAAGTGCAAAGCACCATCGGCCCCGGATGGAGAACGCCTTTGTCGCCGGACGGCTGCACGACCGACGCGACGCGACGCAATGTGACATTCCGCCCGCGGGGCGACGTTCGTATCTCACTTGGCTCATGCACGAGAAAATGCACTCGCCTATCCTTCGTACATGCGTATACATACACGATGCAACGAAGGTATCGGTGGTCGTCCACAAAGCCGCGTCGATCTTGTCGAGATGCCCTGCCATCACCCCCCGTCTTTCCCCATCGAGCGTTCTCACCTTCCTGCGGCTTACTCCGTCCGCATACGTAACGCGTAATATCTTTTCACTTAACCGGACCGAAACGTTTTGTTGTCCCTCGCCGACGGCGACGAGACTGCACTCGCGGCAGACATACATTTCCGGACAATGCAAATGTGAAGATAACTATGTATCGCTATTACAGTGTTCTAAGGCTGTGTTATATTATCGTATATTCAGTCCAATACAAACGTGTGCAGTCGCTCATTCTTCTTGTCGTTTTATAATGACGTGCCAGTTGAAATGAGCTCATTTCGGTTTTTCCATGTATTTTATATATCAGATAAGCAGTTTTAATTAACTGTAAATATAGATCAAGTGAAATATGTATTAATGTATTGTACAGTATTGCAAGATAAATGTGTTACAAAGTAGTACAAATATCATATAGAAAATTAACGTAAAAATTTGATATGAGTGATATGATTTGGAAGCAAATTGTAGAAGTATATTTCTTCATTAAAATTGACATTTTTTTATGTTAAATTAACATATACTATACATTTTATTCATTTATCTTAGAATTTACATTTTAAACCTATTTATTTCTATGTCGTTGTTTTCATTCACTTATAAATAGTGTTATTTTAATATTAAGAAATTTTTTAATATTAAAATTTAACAAAATATTTAAATAATACAATCACATTATATGAAATTAACACTCGGTTAAGTATTCAACGCAAAAATTTCAACAAGAACCATTTTAACACAAAATGTTTTTACTGTGTATAACTCGCCTTATTATAAACATAATTGGACTTTTCAAATACCATACATACGTTATGTTAGCTTTGATTATAATAATTGATTTTATCATAAAATATTATCATACCCACATAGCGATGACTATAATTATGCAGAAATTTATGGCCGCGGTACGCAATATTATCATGCGCATATATGCATATATCGTGTAATGATAAATATATCATGCGATATACTGCAAGACAAACTTGTTGACAAATTTGCATCTCCGGCTTTGCACAGGTATAAGAGCAGCTACGAAAGTGACGAAGGACGAGAAGAAAAACGCAAGTCCCAGCTTCGTCAGGTATTCCGTTCATACGATGAACGTTAGCGGCAGTAGTAGGTTTGAGCAGATATTTCGCGAAATATTCTTCGCTTGCTGCATTAATCTTTCAGGATTATCCCTACGAAATGTGATAGCCTCGTAATTTTCTTACACCGGCCCCTCTGAATTTCTTGCATATGCAGCAATAACGAAGCATTTGCGAACTCTACACGTTTGCGTTTACATTTTT